AAAGCCAGCAAGTCCTATTCATGTCAGTAAAATGACCGCTCATTTCACCTGCACTATTTATAGTAGCTTGTCCTGTAAACCAATCACAAGTCACGTTCTGATGTGAAACATCCATTGATCAATCTATATGTTGGAAACTTCCCTGTAGCCATTAGGTGCACTTTCAGAGTTTGTCCAAATTCAAAAGGGGTCTAAGTTTAGGTCAGAGTTTGCTACCTCCAACCTAACCAGGATTTTTTTCCATGGTGTAGATGCAGGCTAATAGCTTTCAACCTCAACACTGAAGGCTGATCTCAAACAAAAACTGAAAGGTCCCAACTTCAACCTTGACTGACAACTGTTCCAGAGCATCATTACACTAACACTTCTGCTAGCCACAGTGATAACTGTCAATACTTTGCAGGGATAAATTATTATATTTTCCTGTTCTGAGAGAAAGTTTAAGAGAAAACTACTACAGAGTATCTTAATAAAACCATTAGCGTTACCCTGACTAGTTAAAATACTTTGAAAGGTGTTAAAACCCATTGCACTAGGTAGCAACAAGTTTTTAAACCCTTAAATAAAACCCATTAGCTTAGCAGAGTTTTTTTTAAAACCTTTTTAGTCTAGAAAAGGTCTTGAATGAATCACTAGAAGCTCAGTGAACAAGGAAATTCTACCTGAACCTCTTGATTTCATCATCCAAATCTCCCTGAGTAGTATAAAGTTTCAATATCTAGTAGTCAGATTAACAATAGTTTGAGGCTGCTAGAGCGGGGATTAATTTCCCTAACCAAGGTAAACAGCAGAGACAGCAAAGCAAAATTTAGAAGCATCTCAGAATAATCCAGCCAGGTAACTAATGTTAAAGTGCATAATTCTACAGTATATTTAGACTAAACTCTTCAAGGTAGGGACACTTATGTGTTTGTACAATGCTTAGCACAATAGGGCCCAGATCAGGTCCCAGAGACTACCACAATAAGACAATACACATGTAGGACTGAATAGGTCAGTGGAATCAACATTTTTGTTTAAGAAAGGTGAACAGAAATTATACAGTGAGATATTTCAGAAAGATGTGAATGCACCCCAGACTCAAGGAATGAGCCAAATATACCATGTATGAGAGCTCACCAAGAAGCATGATGCAGCAACCTCTACTTTTCAGTCAGCGGAATTTCTAGTTTCTCGGGATTTCAAATGTCTGCCAAACAGCAAGGACTTTCACAGGCTATTTTTATAGTTAGTAATGTTACACACTATAATCAGTTATGTATTAGCTCTTAGTATCTTTGTATGACTCATTCTATTTACCATTGTGGGCTGCATATGTAGCTCTCTGTGTGTTATGTGGGGCTGCATCCACACAATTATATATATATATATATATCACACACACATACACACACTATCTGTATGGCCCTGAGAATGTCACATGGGCCACAGCTGTTTGCTGACTGGGGCACAAGCAGCCCAAGGGTTGAGAACCACTACATCAGAGTCACTCAGGCAAAGAAGAGATTCCCATAGATGCTAAATTTCTTAAAATATCAAATTTTAACTCAACTATTTGCTTGTATATTATCAGAAAAAAAGTCATTCTGTACTCAGCGTGACTGTGGGAAAGACTTTCAGACAGAAAAAGAATTTAGCCTCTTTCAGTGCAAAATGGAATTCAACCTTAGCTATGGAACTGTGACTGGCACCACCATTCTTAAAAAGGACACAAATCCAAAGGGTCAAAATGGATCTTGGTTTGCAACTGGCCAAAATAAAAAATGAGGTTTCAGCTACAGGTACAATCCAAAATTCATGCAGATAGTCTATGAAAATCATCTGACGTTCAAGCAACTTAGGGACAAATATTTCAGACAGATATTTAATATAACATTTTTATGAAGGAGGCTTGCTTTAAGCAAGTTCCTAGACAGCATACACTGGAGGTCTGACTTCTTCTATTAAAATAAGAGTTCTTAGAACTTTCATTCTTATACTACTCCATGTAGTTATACTACCCCTTGTTCTAAAGACATTGCAGCTAGGGTGGTCAAGCAATTAAAAAAATTAAACGTGATTAATCACACTGTTAATAATAGAATACCACTTAAATATTTGTGGATGTTTTCTACATTTTCAAATATACTGATTTCAATTACAACACAGAATACAAAATGTACAGCGCTCACTTTATATTTTTGATTAAATATTTGCACTGTAAAAAACAAAAATAGTATTTTTCAATTCTCCTAATACAAGTACTGTAGTGCAATCTCTTTATCACGGAAGTTGAAGTTACAAATGTAAAATTATGTCCAAAAAAAAACATTCAAAAACAAAATATAAAACTTTATTTAGAGCCTACAAGTCCACTCAGTCCTATTTCTTGTTCAGCCAATCGCTCAGTGAAACAAGTTTGTTTACTTTTGCAGGAGATAATGCTGCCCGCACCTTCTTCGCAATGTCACCTGAAAGTGAGAAGAGGAGTTCGCATGGCACTGTTGTGGCCAGTGTTACAAATTATTTACATGCCAGATGCGCTAAAGATTCATATGTCCCTTCACGCTTCATCCACCACTGAAGAGGACATGCCAATGACAGGTTCTGCTCAATAACAATCCAAAGCAATGCGGCCTGATGCATGTTCATTTTCACCATCTGAGTCAGATGCCACCAGCAGAAAGCTGATTTTCATTTTTGATGGTTCGGGTTCTATAGTTTCCGCATCGGAGTGTGGCTCTTAAGACTTGTGAAAGCATGCTCCACACCTCATCCCTCTCAGATTTTGGAAGGCACTTCAGATTCTTAAACCATGGGTTGAGTGCTGTAGCTATCTTTAGAAATCTTACATTGGTACCTTCTTGCGTTTTGTCAAATTTGCAGCGAAAGTGTTCTTAAAACGAGTATGTGCTAAGTCATCATCCGAGACTACTATAATAGGAAATATATGGCAGAATGCGGGTAAAACAGAGCTGGAGACATACAATTCTCCCCTGAGGAGATCAGTCACAAATTTAATTAACAAGTATCATCATCATGGAAGCATGTCCTGTGGAATGATGGCTGAAGCATGAAGGGGCCTACGAATATTTAGCATATTTGGTATGTAAATACCTTGCAATGCTGGCTACAAAAGTCCCACGCCTGTTCTCACTTTCTGGTGACATTGTAAATAAGAAGTGGGCAGCATTATCTCCCATAAATGTAAACAAACTTGTCCTAGCAATTGGCTGGACAAAAAATGTAGGCTCTGAATTTCATGTTGTTTTGTTTTTGAATGCAGTTATGTAACAAACAAACAAAACAAAAAAATCTACATTCCTAGTGCACTCTCTTTATTGTGAAAGTGCAACTTACAATACTTGTATGAAGTGAACTGAAAAATAATATCTTTTGTTTATAATCTTTACAGTGCAAATATTTGTAATCAAAAATAAATATAAAGTGAGCAGGGTACACTTTGTATACTGTGTTGTAACTGAAATCAATGTATCTGAAAATGTAGAAAAACATCCAAAAATATTTAATAAATGTCAATTGGTATTCTATTGTTTAACAGTGCAATTAATAGCAATTAATTTTTTTAATTTGTGATTAATTTTTTGAGTTATTTTCGTGAGTTACCTGCGATTAATCAACAGCCCTAATTGCAGCATATACCGTGTTTTATATAAGTATGTCAAGCAATATCGGCAAGGCAGCATATGAAAGCCAGCCTTTGGGGCCATTTCAAAGTTAAAATCAGAATTTCCTGGCCTCCGTTTCTGTGCTTTGCAATATAATTTTAAAATGTACATATATACCCACAAACCTGCTATCCATCTGAGAACATGAAAGGATAACTCAGTTATTTTAGGAAGTGTCAAAAATTTCATTTGTCTGCTTATAGAAAGATTATGACCAAGATGTCACAAGGCAAACAAGTTACTTTTCAAACACATCCTCTGATCTTCAACCTGTATGTCTAGGAGGAAATAAAAGCTATCTAACCATTCACACTGAGTGGGAGTGTGCCAAAAGCTCTATGAAGTATCAAAATCCTTGGGGTACTATTATTGATTTTACATAAAAGGCACTCAGATACTATGGCGATGGGCTGCAGCATAAAGCCCCAAGACAGAACGGACTATTTATGTGTGTGGAGTATTTGATCTGCATAGTAAGCGTCTATAAAAGGTGGACAAGTCCCTCCACTCAGAAGGTAACATTCCTAATGGTGTGATCTAGATGTGCTATCCTATATAAGTGATCACTCAGGTGTCTAAATGTTCTGTTAACACAGTGGAGGTATTTTCAGAATAGGCTGGGAGACCGGAGTATTCATGCTGTGTATAGTTTACTTTTAGATAAGAATCAGAAAGTGGCTGCTGCATTTACATAGCCTGAGTCTCAAGTGTTCAAAACTGTAAAGCCTACTGTGGCTCCACGCCCCTGTAACTTGTGATATATGGTTAAGTATAAACGATTATAACTGGGAGGATTTAGCTTAGTGACCTGATACACAAAAAGAAAAGGAGTACTTGTGGCACCTTAGAGACTAACCAATTTATTTGAGCATAAGCTTTCGTGAGCTACAGCTCACTTCATCGGATGCATCCGATGAAGTGAGCTGTAGCTCACAAAAGCTTATGCTCAAATAAATTGGTTAGTCTCTAAGGTGCCACAAGTACTCCTTTTCTTTTTGTGAATACAGACTAACACGGCTGTCACTCTGTGACCTGATACATTAATCCTTCTATTAGATATAAATCGATTAGAGAAAAAAAGCCCTTTGCTCCAAGTATAATGCACCAACTAACACATTCTGTAAACAAATTTACATTATCCTCTACAGAAATCTCTAAGTGCTCGTTAGTCTATTTTCCAATAGAAAGTCAACACTGTAACCTCGAACCGCTGTTTCTGATAAATATATGGCTAAATAATATATTTGCTAAAAAAAAGCGTGACCAGACTCCTATCTATAGTGTAAGGATTTGCAGTGAAGTGATCAGATGCATACCAATATGTATGTTTACCTTTCTTCTATTCTGTTCTTGTCCGTAAGTGGCTGTTTGATCCACTGATTAACCAGTCTTTGTCCTTGAGGAGTTTTGCACTTATTTAATAACCCAACCAATGATTGTGTACTGTTGGCATTTTCAACAGAACTCTGGAAAGAAAAATGTAGAAATGATTTTAAAAATAGAGGGTATGGCAAAAAAAAAAAACGATGACTGCAGCTTGGTAGAACATTTGAGTTTTCTAGTTTTACATTTCTGACCCAATGAAATTTAGCAGAATAACGGCACTTTGTGGTACTATACACTACAACCTTTAAACCAGGTCTGTTCAGATTATAGTACACTATCTTCAGTCCTTGGTTAGATATTAACTGCAGACGTGCCGTGTGCACCCGCACAGCTTTATATTTTTAAATGAGCTATACAAAATTCAGCCAGCAGGAAATTCGCAGACACATTTAACACTCAAAAATAGCTGATACATCTGCTTCAAGGCCTTCAAGTCTCAGCTTGGGTGGAGGGGTTTGTAGTTTTGATCTCTTCTCTCTCACCCTCTCACGCACACCTATAACTCAAATCAAACGGCTTCAAATGGAAATCCAGTCTCAGATCTGATTTCACTATCAGAGAGACACACTATAGTAATGGAGAAAGTGTCCAGAAGAGAGAAATGGAATTCAGCAAGGTCGAATATCAGTTTAAAATGAAAGTGAGAATCTTATTTTGGCAGAGTACAATAGCCACAGTCAAGATATCGGAGAACTGTATACGACTATGAAATATCAAGCTGAGTGCAAGCAGACCCAAGACCTAACACTATTTTAAAATTTGTCATGCCAACTCCAAAATACTTTATATAACAGACAGTGGCAGTTCACGTATATGAAACATTTACTCTATTGTATGTAATAGCTAAAGTGTTTGTTTAAAAATACATACCTAGCCAACTGACGGACAGTAGAACAGATATTTGGTTTTGCATCTCTTCAAAAGTTTCCTAGCAAACTTTATTTTTCTGCACTTGCCAATCTACATTACAATTGTATGGCTCAGGCAGCATGTGGAACTACATGACATCAGCTGCGCTATCGGTCAGAAACTTCCCGCCTCACAGAGTGATTGACTCAAATCGTAAAGCATGTAAGAGCAGACTTCATAACAGATTTTCTATTTAGATGAAACACTAGTCAAGAGAGAAAAGCCTGACATTCAAGCAGTAGTGCCATGTGGCAGACCTCTTTGCTCCCAGGCTAGCAACCCAAGGACAGATTAGGAAGTGCCTTACCCATAAGGGAGCAAATGCATAGGCTGTTTATTGAGCCACATCCATTGTCTTTGGAGAGAGCTGTTTCCAGCTCATTTTACCTACTTAGACACACCCTGTCAATCCTAGCTCAAGATGTTGCATTGTACTAATTACAGCAGCGAGAACCAGGACAAAGCTTTGAGCACCATGGGTAAAAGAAAGATCCCATGAAAAACTGATTGAAGATGCTCCCCTGATGTAAGTACAGAGAGGAAAAAAACAAAGCAGTCAAGTCCTTCATTTTGCTGTCTGAACTGCTTTGTTTTCACCCTGTAATTACTCTGGTTCTGAAGTTATAGCTAATGTATCACTTACAAGTTAAGTCTTAGAAATAGCTAAATTGTATTTAAAACACATTTTTAATCTGAAAACTGTCATAGCCAAGATTCTTGTTTAGTGTGTCTAGGTGATTTTCAAATCAAATCTGCTTGGTTTACGAGAGGCAACTCCTCTGACATTCTGCAAATTCAAAAGCAAATCTGTATGACAAGCTGCGTGTTTTGGGTGGTCACAATATTCTACAGTTGGGAGTTTGGTTAACACCAACTATGATGCAAAAGACAAAAAAATCCATCTTGTTCTCTGAAAGATATATTCCTCTGCAATGCTAACAGAAATAAGGAATATAGCAAGTAAAGCTGGCTAGAACTCAGGGTGTTCGGTTAGGGAGAAGTTGTTTCAGAATTTGTTTTTGTTCCAATCTGGAATTAAAGCAAAGTTACTGAAATTTTTAGGCAAGCCAGAGATCAAAATTTTATTTTGGAATGACCAAAATATGGTGTGCTCCAGCAGCAGGGGGAAAATCAACATCAGACCGCCCCCCACACACCACCACCCCTCTGCAGCAGCAGAATTCCACAGTAATGGTTTGCTATGTGTCCCGGAGCAGATAAGCATGCCAGCTGTCAGAAACAGAGCTTTGAAAGGGGATATCCACATGCCTGCAGCCAAGTTCAAAACAATGACCAGAATGGCCACTTGACTTCAAGGGATTATGGGATGTTCCCGGAGGCCAATCGCAGTGCAGTAATGCAACATGTCATCCACACTGACACCCCAGCATTTCAGCCAGGACACAACAAGCTCTATGATTCTTGTGCAGGAGGATTACCAGGGGTGCTCCAGCTGCAGAGTCCAGGCGCTCTAGGTGCCTTGCCTGTGTGGACACCTCAGGCGTTAGGGCACTTGGGGCTGATTTAATGCGCTCTAACTTGCAAGTGTAGCCAAGCCCCTATGTTGTCATTCACTGAATCCTAGATATGAAACTCACAAGGATTCCACTGCAATAAGCCCTGGAGCTCTTGGGGCTGATGGGCTCCCTGTTTGAGCCAGGATTCTCCGGTCACCCAGGGTCCCTGACACTAAACTGTGAGCCTGGAGGTCATAGGACCAATTCCCAGGGTCTGCTGCACAGAGGCAGCCCCACCATACAGACTGCCTCAGGCTGGTGACCCCAGCACTTCCAATCTCCTGGGCCAGCTGGAAGCCCTGAGAATGCCTGACCCTGGTGTAGTCTGTATGGCAGGGGCTGTCCCAAAACCTGTGGCTCTGGAACCTGATTCTAGGAATCAAAGCTCCCAGCTCCACAGCAGGGACCCTGGAAGCCCAGGCTTGAAAACGGGAGCTCAGAAACCTTGAGTGCCAGCCCCAGCAGGGTCCCTGGAACACCAGCAAGTTTCCAATAGAAACCTACCTGTTTCAACAAGACTTTTGTGAAGTCTGTAATAGATTTGGTGAAACATTCCACTTCAGCAAATTTGCATTTTAAAGTCAGTAGATCTACTGTGTAAACAAGGTGCCATTTTACTAAGCTACTTTTTGATCCCCTGCATTGGGGACTTTTAGGACTATATTTTGAGCTTGCTCTATGCAACACCTCCCTTAAATAAAAGCCCATCTTCAAATGATTAAAATTAGATGGGAAGAGTCCTCCCAATGCCAAGAATCTAGTCAGAAAATTACATCTGTCCCAGTTTCCCAGGCAGGAACTCAGGAAGGAGAGGAGTTTAGAGGGTGCCAATCCCAAGAACTCCTGCATAAAGTTGAAGAAGGGAATGGAGCAGAGGTTCCCCTCCCTAAACTCTTGGGTATAGCAGGAGAAGGCAGCAAGAATGTTCAGGCTTCTCCTTTCTCCCTGAGCTAGCAAGCCTAGGTGCCAGATCTGAGTTCTTTATTCCCTGGAATCTCCAGGAGTCTCTCCTTTGTGGAGTGGGGAAGTAGTACTCTACTCCCTGGGCTTCTTCCATGGGCCCCAAAATGCATATACTTTGTAACTCAGGCCAAGGAGCACTAAGCAGAATCTGGTATGAAAAAAATACAACAGGTGAAATCAGTATATACACCAGTGTTTGAACTATTTCTCTGTGGGCATAGTCAGCAAATACACCAAAAGCGACATTCGGCCGTTTGTTTTTAAAAAGGCTACGCTGACAGTGCCCATTTAAATATGTCAAGGTTTCTTTGGCAGAACTTTCAGAGGAATCTGTTTACTGACTGCTTTCAGCTGCATCTTGCATCACTTCCTGCTCAATAAGAGGAGCACTGTGACAAGCCCCTTCCCCCCTCAGCCCCCCCGTGTAAGGTAGGATTCTGCATGCAAATAAATGAGACCGAAAATACTAAGCTGCAGACACTGGAGATGGGAACCCCTCTGGCTCTGCCTGCTGGGAATTTCTGGAGGGGGGGGTTAGATAAAGTCCCCCACTCTGCTTGCTTTTTTCAAGGAAATTACACAGCATCAGAGTGGCCAAACACACAAAAAAATAGAAACCAGAAATCAGAATCTCCAATTATGCACCACCACCGCTATAAAGGATTTTTGGGGTAGTCTGTATTTGCAAGTAGCAAAGCGTATACTTTTGTGAATTAAACTGGAAGCAAGTTCATTAGTTTAAATACATGTTTGTTTCTTACCTGGAAAAGGTTAAGGGCTCGAACAGCTGCATTATCCAGTATCATATATTGACTGAGGTCAAAGCTAGTCAATTCAAATTGTCCAAAGTTAGATTCATCCAACAAGAGCTCTAAATACTTGATAACGGCCGACAAGGATGAAATCGCAACCTAAAGTTACAAAGGTGTGTTACAGTAAAACAAACTAGTTCTGACAACAGATGCTTTTATAGAATGACAATATCCAAAAGTAGCATCTCAGAGTCACGTCAACTTAAAAAAAATATCAAAAAGCAAACAAAAATTCTGATTATCTGATGAGACTTTAGTCTAAAACAGGAATTCATAATGCCCTGGGAACTTGGGTTACACTCAGGGTCATCAAACCTCTGCTGAGTTACAAAATCCAGTACATGTGAAGATAAAGCCTATGTGTCTCATGCATTTCCACAGAACTGGTTACCAGGAACCTTAGAAATTACAAAATACGAAGTATTTTAGAATATAAATACAGCATGCGCTAAATATATGTTCAAAATATTCAGAAACAAAAAAAATTTTTTACATTTGTTATGGCTGTTTGCCAACAAACCATAAAAAAATTAGGAAATAAAGTACAGGATTAAACTTCTTGAGAAGAACGATTGGCAAGTAAGTAAGTATCCTTTGCATGTGCATCCAGCTTTCGAAAGCAGAGTATCTTGAAGTAGTTAGGTAGGAGATAAAGGTACTATCCCTGGCTCCCATCTCAAATCCAAATGAGACTAAAGGGGAATGGAATATTTTTGTGAGAAACTGCTTAATACTGCATATGCTTATACAGGTGTTTAAAGTCTGCATCTGTTTTCACTGAAGTACTATGGAAGAAGCTGTTACTGCTGCTCCCATGGTACCATCATACATGCTTACTCCCTGAGCCACCCAAAAAGAACTATCCTTCTGTCTCTCTTGAGGCTGTTCAAGCCGCAGAAGTAACCATACCTTTTCCTAACACATGAATGGTGACCCTAGGAAACCCTCAGTGCCAACAGGCAAAGTGTTCACTGTTCTGTAACAGTAACTCTTAAGAGGCCTGACAAACTCACTACACCTAGCACACCACTTTCATGGTACTTATCCAGATATGAGGTCATGTAAAATTAAATGAAAGCCAGAATCACACTGATAACTAAACTTATTGTGAACTGTATGTATGGATGCTATGTAAAGAGGCAGGAGGGTAACAAGGGGACTCTCAGGGCTGGGGACCCCAAGACCCATCACGTAGATGCCATAAAGTTGAAGAAGCCATTAATGGAACATGAGACCACCACCTCTCCCACTTGTGACCTATTGCAAAAAGTCACAAACAAATTAAGTAACCCATGCAGAATTTTACTCCTTACCATCCTTACCATTCCTAACCTGCATTATAGTCTATGGTGCCTAGCTGTGACAAGCAAGTTGGCCCTCCCATGAGATTTTTGCCTAGAAAGGTCACTGCACAGTTGCCACAGCACAAAAAACACAGGATGTTCTCACATATGCAGAGGTCAGCCATGCAGAAACTGGACTGGCTGGCCGATTCCATTTGCTATGACTAACCTAAATGTGTAATTAAAGATTTAAGGAACATTAAGTCATAGAAATGAGATTTTCAATTAGTTAAGAAGGCACAAGGCCTGCAGTCACTCCTATTCCTTCTGGGATAGAATTCTATAGTCTAATTCCAACTCTTGGGAAGGTGCCCTCTCCTGCAATCACAAGCTTCCTCCTATAAAAACGTGACTATTTCCTTGAGAGTAAGTGTTATGCAAGTCAGCGTGAGGGCACACGTGCTGTCAGGCAGCTATGCCCAATTTCTTAAAGAGCTTTGAATGTCACATCAGGACCTTAAAATGGGATTCTATTCCATGGGGAACCAAAACAGAGAGTATTAATTTAGAGGTCTCTATGATAAGTTTCAGACCATAGGAATAAGTACCTAAAACCACTTATAAACCCATGCAGAAGAGTAGGATTCCATAACCACCTTATGTACAGAAATGTAAATGCACCATGGCAAATTTAAAGTTACTTTTAATTTATGCTTTAGTAGTCCCTAGTAATAGTGGGTTTTCCTTTAAAAAGTGTCCATTAAAGTATCAACTACAAGGTGATGTAGTTTCAGTAGTCAGGGAAAGGTTTAAAAGAATCTTACAGACTTCAACCTTCCCCTCTAAACATTTGGCATCACGAAAGCCGTGACACCAGTACAGTGAAATCAAAATTATACACTATTGCTATATCTCATTTAAAAAGTATTGTTCACATTTTGGTGGTGCTCAAATATGCCAGATATTGGACAAACAGAAAGGCAGTCTGTGTCCTGAAGAGTTTGCAGTCCGATTAACAAACAAAGTCAGGAAGAAAGGAATACAGTAAAAGCAGAGTGGTCAGTCGACAACTGACAGTGTTCCATTTTTAAAAAAATATGTATTATCAATCGCTACTCTATCTACAGCAGCTACAAGTTACTCACCTGTTTTTCTATCTCTGGTAATGTTGCACTAGTCACTTGCTCTTCCTTTTTTGATTTTAGCAAGCGGTTGAGATCCTGCACAATATCTTTTGTTGTGAATTCAGCCTTTTTTCGGTCTGTAATCATGATTCCTCCTCTTTGAATGATCTGTTGTGTATAAGTTTAGTAAGTCATTTCCAGTTCTCAAGAGAGCGAAAGTGAACTACTGAGAGTAGTCTCAAAGACAAGTTGTTAATCTGTATTCAATTGTTAGACTATACAGAGAGAAGTAAGATAGTGTTTACTTTAAGGGTATGTCTACATTACAAAATTATGTTGACCTAAATTACGTTACCATACAGCCACTGCAGTAATTAAATCACTTTTTATTCCTGGGGGAATTCTATGCCACTGCGTGCATGCAGAATTCATGTCCCCTGAAGATTTCTTTGCTTCCCCGCAGAGAAATGGCTTTCTGACAGAGAAGCAAAGGGAAGCCAAAAGAGCAGTCACGCAACCCCCACTCCTCCCTCAGCAGTGAGGGCGCGTCATTCTCGGGACCCAGAGCAGCCGGTGGAGATGTCAATCACTGCAGGTCTGGGGTAACCTCGGCTTGTGGCTCCTACCCTGCAACAGGCTGAGCTGCTAGTCCCAGCTGGGCTGGAGGAGGACAGGACTTCCTCTTCCCCTGCAAGGAGCTGCCAAGGCTGGGTCAGACCCACCCCCAGAAACCTCCCCAGCTGCAGGAAGCTCCATACCCCACCCCCCACTTCCTGCCCCCATCCTTCCTCAGTTGCAGGGAGGGCTACGCCCCTGTCCGCCCAACCCCTGTGCATGTGGACCCCCCATCCATATCCATACCCTTGTCGAGCCTCACATCCCTGCACCCAGAACCCTTCCACCGAGCCTCACGCACCTGGACCCCCCCCCCCCCCCCACCACCACCGAGTCTCATCCCCACAAGCCCCACCCCCCACCCTCCCAACAAGCCCCTGTGCATCCAGATCCCCCTGGCACCCACACCTCCCACCAAGCTGCCCACATCCACATTTTCCCCCACACACAGAACTCTCTCACCCCACACATGGATTCCCCCATACTTGGATCCTGTAGGATGATCTCCCACCTCTGTGCAGCCAGGGGCCTGTGCTCCCGACTGCCATGCTGGAGCCACATTTATTTATTGACAAATAAAACGTGCAGAATTTTTTGGGAGTGGGAGCAAAATTCCCTCAGAAGTACAGACTTTTGCACGTCCCCACTACACTCCTTGTGTTAGTGGTGCATGTCCCCACCAGGAGTGCTTACACCAATTTAACTGTCAGTGTGGGGCAACAGTCCACGTAAGCAACACAGTGTCTATACAGACACTGCGTCGACCTAACTATGTCAACCTAACCACTACACCTCTTGTGCAGGTGGAATTATTAAGTTGGCACAGTGGGCATTATATCAGCAGGAGCAACATTTTAGTGTAGACACTTAGAATTAGGTTGACTTGAGCTGCCTTGCGTAGATCTAACTCGAGAGCATAGACAAGGATTAACAGTATCTTTTGTTGTTGATTACATGTTTTAATCAACAAGCAATGTATATATCATCCAGAATTCCCTCAAGTTAATATATTAATCCTGTTCATTTCTTAGCCTTTATCAATCTTAGTTCACAACTTATTTCAGAGCTTTTTCTTCCCATTCTCAATTAATACAAATATAAATCAGTCAGTCCACATATTCACCCCACTTACGTGTCGCAGTTTTCCCATATCTCCAGAAGTCTCTCCTCCTGGTAGCACACATTCCTTAGGTCCAATTTGAACCAGCAGAGCTTCAAGGTTTGAGAACTGATCGTTATCTGGAAACTCACAGACACCCAGCTTCCTGAGCGTAGTGTCAACATACCCAACTCCAACTATTCTTTGTCCATCAGCAGTATATAGCTTAACACCCACAACACCAATGGCAGTCGACATGTCATTATTGCCAAAGAGAATTTCCTCAAACTGGGCAAGGTTACCTGGAGAACCCTATTTGAGAAAGAAAACTTAGAACAGCCCTACAATTTTTTTTTCTAATCTTTTGCAGAACAAACACTGTCCAGGTTAGTAGAACAAATTGGGGGTTTTTTTGCATTTCAGAGAAATCAGTGTTCTAAGATTTCTCAAACTTTAAAATCATCTGAAATAGAAATAAAAGCAAATATGATAATTAACTACATAAATTTGTATCCAATAAAATTCATTCCCAATGCAACTGGATTCCCAAACTATCCTGAAATCTGAAACTGCTTTTAAAATAAGATAACGGGAGTGAGGTAATATCTTTTACCCGGACCAACTTCTGTTAGTGAGAGCCACAAGCTTCTGAATATACACAGAGCTCTTCTTTAGATCTCTTCCAGGCTCCGTGTAAGCTCAAAACCTTGCATCTCACCAACAGAAGTTGGTCCAATAAAAGACATTACCTTACCCACCTTGTTTCTCTACTATCCTGGGACCAACACAACTACAACACTACATTCAAACTAAGATTAATTTGAACTACCTTTCTAGTCTCAAATTATGTTACTCTAATCCAGAAGTGTCAAAACACCCAGCCTGTAATTTGTGGACAACAGGACATTCAGATTCTACAGTTTTAGCTTTTGGTTTAAAAAAATTTCTTGTCCTAATGGTTGCAAAGAAAGCCTAAATGTGATTAATACAATGTTGTCTTTGGAGCGTGAGGATAGAAACATTTTGGCACCTGTAGTGTAGTGATTTTTTGATGCTGTAAAACATAGTAATATAATATGCTGTATATACATGCTTTTTGTTTTTAAAGGCACAAAGGGACAAATGAAATACTGCATGCTCACAGTACATAAAATAGACAGGGTTCTAACTTTTCAAACTATTAAGACTATACTTGCAGAAAAAAAATATGAATTTAAACCTCCAGCTATACAGTAAGTCAGTTGTCCTGAAGCTCCCCCAGAGCATCATATGGCACACCTGCAGTGCAGGATCCACCCACCCTGGAGTAGCGGGGAAATGCTGCGACATACGGAAAAATATGGACATACCTCCCCCCCACAATCATGTGGCCAACTGGAGGCACTGAAAGTCTGTAAGGAAGTTTGAAACTGGATGAATAGAAGCATAGTAAACATCTGCATTTTTTCCACTTCAATCATATGGAGATAGAAAATTGTACCTTGTATGCCAAATACCAGTCATTCTCTTTGGTAGATTTACTTCCTGCTTTGTTCTTGTAAATTTCAACTCTGTACTGACGAACCAGAAGTAAATCTCTCAGAAAAGATTCAAAGTTCATTTTACTAAGCACAACACTCTCGAGTTTCTGATTTCCTACAGGAAGAGGAAAAGTGAATAAAATATTTGTAAGGTAAATGTAGTATTGGTTTTCTTACATACATTCTGTAATTGAGAGCTCTGCAAAGGATAAATTTAATAACCTTTAGAGGATACAGTATTATTTTGACAAGCAAGGAAGAAGCACACACAAATTCCAAGAACCAAAATAAAAACATCTCACTTAGTTGTAAAGAGTATGCGGATTTCCAAGTGTTAAGAACAGCTACAGATTCTGTAGAAAACTTGATTGACCCAGAAAGCAATCAAGTCAATTTCAAAAATTTTCACTCATCTATAAAATTGATCTACTTTTCCCTCTTGATATGGGTTTTACCCTCAGATTTTCTAGTTTGTCTTTCGCACTACACAATAGTTTTTCTGAGCAAGGATAGTGGAAACAAGCTACAGTTTTCTCTTCAGGGGAGTACGACCAATGATAACTCATTTTCAACTAACTCATGAAAAACTCTGCTGTCCACATTAATTCAAGGGACGGCCTCCTACTATATAGTGACCTGAATGCTGCCACAATAAAAAATAAAATAAAATAAAAGAGTTAAGAGCACGCACATTAACTCAAAAAAACCTATACATCACCATAAAGCCCACTACCCTAAGGAAACTGTGTGTAGCTGACAAAATTCTTGGTTTTACTCTTAAGTCCACCAAATTGGAAGCTTTTCTCTCCTTTTTATATCTTTAATAAGTATACCACCTACTTATCCTACAAATCTTACAACTATAGCAGGATTTTAGATTGTTTTCTTCATTCAGAACTCAACCAATAGCCATACAAATGAGTTACATTAGAATCAGAGGAAATGGAAACACACGCTGTTAAGCTCTCTCTCTGCCAATGCAGGATTGCTCATACAGCATGATGTTTAGTATTTTGTTCAGTCTGGTTTTAAAGTAATTAAAAGAGGTGACCATCTGCAGCACATGAGGAATGTGTGAATGAAGTTTTACATGTGACCTTCATTCAAAATAAAAGTTATACTTTAGGACATTTGAATACTGTAGCTGATACTCAAGAGTTAAGTTTTGGTTCAGTTTAAACCTGGAACTAAGGAAGAATATACATGCATGCATGCATGTTTAATATCTTCTGGATTTGAACCTTTATGAGCTTTAAAATTTGTAATACACTGTCAAGCTCAATAAGTCTTTACAGTGCAAATAAAAAAAAATCAAAGTTTAGCATGTATTACAGAACAATGTTTTCCCTCTTGACACAATTGAGGGAAAAATTACTATCACTATTGTGACCGTGCCATTCAGATTTATTTTACTGAATGTGAACTAGTAACATTACACTGTACAGTAACTCCTCACTTAACATTGTAGTGATGTTCCTGAAAAATGTGACTTTAAGTGAAACGATGTTAAGCGAATCCAATTTCCCCATAAGAATTAATGTAAATAGGGAGGGTTAGGTTTCAGGGAAATTATTTTTTGCCAGACAAAAGGCATTATATACATTTTAAACAAGCAATTTAATACTACAATCATCATTGCCGAGTATGAAGCGTGGTTGAGGTGGTGGAGTCAGAGAGTGGAAGAAGGTGGATTGTCCGGCTGCTCCTCTTGCTGAACTCAAAAAAACACATTAGAGGTGGTTGTTTTGCTTCCCCTCCCCACCCCCTTTTTTGGCGAAGCTCCTGTGCATTTCACAGACTTTCATGGGAGCAGGGCCAGGTTCTGTGCATCTCTGCGCCAGTTCTCCCTCTTGCTCCAGCGAAGCAGGTGCTGGAATGCTACTCCTGGAACTTGCTTTGGGCGGGCTGCCGCCCCCTGTGTTCTTACCTCCCTCCAGCGAAGGGGGGGAGCAGATAAAACATAATTTACTCTGTAGCAAGACAGCAAGGCAGGGCCTCTGCTGTGCACCGCCCGCAGCTGCTTTGCAGGCAGCCGGTGGCGTCGCAAGCACTTGGTGTAGAGCCCTATTCCCGAGCAGGGCCGTTGGGACAGTGAATCGCTGGGGTGGGGGTGTAGTGTGCATGTGCTGTGTGTTTACAAACTTATTGTACGTACAGTACTACAGTTGGGAGGTGCCCCTACTTTACCCCGCACAGGTACAGTCCACTGGTACTGGAGACAATGAGGCAGGGCAAGGAGGCTGAAGGTGCTGTGGGCTAAGAGAAGCACGTTGCGCAGCAGCAGCTTCCCCTACTCTGCAAGCACCAGGGGCGGAGGACTCAAACCTCGGCCCGGCCACTCCACCCCTTCGCCCAAACCCATACCCTTAACCCGCCTCTTCTTTCCCCCTACCTTTACTCCGCATGCCGCGTCCTCGCTCCTCCCCCCTCCCTCCTGCCAAGGGCAATCAGCTGATTTGCGGTGTTCAGGAGGCAGGGGAGGGAGGGGGAGCCTGCGCACCAAGTTCTTGCTCCTCCAGCCTCGCCCCTTTCTCCTCAATGCCGCCAGCCAGCTGACTGCTACGGGCCGTAGGCAGGGGAGGAATGGGAAGGCGCTGATCCACGGGATCTGCTGGTGGGTAGGAGGCACTGGGGCGGGGGGGGGGGGGGGGGTCTAGGGAGGCTGCCAGCTGTGGAGAAAGCAGGCAGCCAAACAACATAATAGTGGAGCATTGCACAACTTTAAATGAGCATGTTCCCTAATCGATCAGTAACGTAACAACGAAACAACGTTAACCGGGACGACTTTAAATGAGGAGTTATTGTATTTAAAGCAATTCCTGATCAAGCACAATACGATTAAGTGAGCTGTAGCTCACGAAAGCTTATGCTCAAATAAATTGGTTAGTCTCTAAGGTGCCACAAGTACTCCTTTTCTTTATACTAAGGCCTGGTCTACAATGCACAGTTTTGTCAGCAAAAGGCAGCTTTTGGCAATGAAACAGTAGAGGTTTACACACTGCAATGTCACTGTCAGCAACAAAATAGAACCACCTCAAAGAGAGTCATAGGGCTTTTTACACAAAAGTTTTGACACCAAAGTGCCTGTATAGACACCACACTTTATTTTATTGCTGTAATTGGCCTCGAGAGGGTGTCCCACAATGCCCATCCCAACCGCTCTGGTCAGCGGTTCCAACCCTGCTGCCCTACAGCCAGGCAAGCAACTGTCCACCCCTCCTCCTTTAAAGCCCCGGGAATTTTTGAAATTCAACATGCTGTTCGCTCGGCATGGAGAGCTCACATCACATCTTCCCAACTGACCTTGTTCCACACAGCAGACGCTCTCCCACTTGGACCACTGCGGAGCTGCTGGATCTGAGGAGAGGCAGCTGTGCAGTCCCAACTGCGCTCCAGCCATAGGAATTTCAATACCTATTGGCAGATTTCATGAAGCTTGGGCAAAAAAGAGCTATGATTGGGACATGCTACAATGTAGAGCAATGACCAAGGAGCTGAGGCACATGTACCAGAAGGCGAGGGAAGCAAAACACTGCTCCGGCGCTGAGCCCCAGACCTGCCATTTTTATAGGGAGTTGGATGCTATCTTCAGCGGCGACCCCACCTCCACCACCAGTAGCCCCATGGATGAGAGGAGACCCCTGGTAATTGGTTTTGCTTTGTGAAGTGCAGAGGTGGGTTGATGGCATAGAAATATATAAGGCTGGCTGTATTTCTGTGTGCTGGACATTCCCCTGTGCAAGTGTGTAGTAGATGCATGCTTGCTCACTCTCAGGAGTGAGATATCTGCTACAATGACCCCCATCTGTGGAAAAGGGTGCAAAATTTAGAATATTGTCCCTAGTCAACTGCACTGCGACCCTTTCATATTGATTTTCTCTTGATGTAGAATGTACCTCCTCCTGGGATAAACTCACCATGCTGGTCAGTGGGGAAGAGATTTGTGTGTTAGTAGAGGTGTATTTTACTGTACTGTTTCAATCCTCTGCATGTACTTAATCATGCTTCTGTGTATTGTTCTTTGTGCTTCTGCAGATGTGGCCTTCGAAGGCACCCTGTACACACCAGCAGAGCACCTCCAACAGATAAGAAAGCACCCAAGATGGAGCAAAGAAGAGACATTCCAGGAGGTCATGCAATGCTCAGATGCAAAAAACAGGGAACACAGGCAGTGGAGGACAGAAAAGAGGACAAAAGCAAAAACAGAACAAAAAGCAGGACAGAAAAGAATATGAGGCTTACAACAGGGATGCAATAGAGAGGATGATAAAAGTTATGGAGAAACAAACCAAGATGCTACCATCCTTCATAATGCTCCAAACTGAGCAGATGCCTGTCTGTCCTCCCCACCAGCATATTCAGAACTCTTTCCCATGACTTCCCCAAACTCCACCCGTGAATTCCTTTCCGTTGTCTAGGACTTCTTGCTTTCCCGCTCACTCCACCACCCAGACATCTTTTCAAATGACAGCTGGACTTATGCACAGCTCTGAAAGTCGGCCCTCCTCGGATACCTCCTCTCCCCACAGCAATTGTGGGCGTGGGTGCAGGTGGTGCTGTATTTTTTTGTACAAGAAAAGCGAAGGTTTTTTTTAATATGAACTCTGTTTCCTGCAAATTGTGATAACACATGGCAGCAACAAGCAAGCAAGCAGTTAAATCATTAGTTTATATTGAATCATAGGCCACAAAAAATCACAAGTTCCTCCTTGCAAAACTTGATTTCATTAAGCATTGTAGTCCAGAGCATAGCAACATACATTACTGATTCTCATCTTCGAAGTGTTGCCTCAAAGCCTTCCTGATTTGAACTGTCTCCTGTTGTGAGCCCTTCTAATAGCCCTAGTATCTGGCTGCTCAAAAGCAGCAGTCCACCCTTGAGCAAACTTTTTCCCCTTACCATCACAAATATTGGGCAACGTGCAACACGCAACTACGATCGTGGAAATATTATCCTCATTGAGGTCTAACTTGCCATAAAGGCATCGCCAGCACGCCTTTAATCTGCCAAATACGCATTCCATGGTCATCCTGCAGCTACTGAACCTATTGTTGAATCGCTCCTTATTGCTCTTTAGGTTTCCCATGTAAGGCTTCATGAGCCATGGCATTAAG